TTTACGCTCTACATACTACTACCGCTTTATAACTCTTAAGCGCTCATACAAAGTACTACAGTGTGATACGGAATTAGAACGAAAAGTCAGCGAGGTCGAAAGAGAATTGTCATGATATGCTTTAGTTTTTGTTGTTTTCATTTATTTTGCACCTTTTCAATGTTATCGCGAAAAAAGTGCCCCAGCTTGGCGTACACTTTTTCAAACTTCACTTAGGGCCATTTTAACTTGGACGACAGGATCCGGCAATCAGTTATCAAAATTATAGGGACTTTTTGTACAAAGTTGTATGCGGCAAGTCGTAATGCAGCGACGAAATGGTTCTTTCTAAGTCCGGCACGTCACTCAGTCATAACGAGTCAGCCGTTGGGCATTCGTTGTTTGTTGCCAAGTGTGGCTTGCTGTTGTCGGTCGGCGCTGGCTCTGGCTTTGGCGATGGTGGCGGCTTTTAGCTTTGTTCTTTCAAACTAAATTTAAATGCAGTTGGACAGTCAGTCAGGCGTACAGGCAAGTACATGCAGGCAGCAAACAGACAGACAACAGGCGGACATGTTGTCCCGGCTGGCGTTGCTGCTGCTGCGTAGCTGCCATCGCTGGTGTATGCCTTTCTGCCTGACTACAATCTGAATAAGAATGAGCTGTTTTTTTGACAGTTTCGTGACACGTTAATTTTACGTTTTATGCAGGTATGTATGCAGAGCTTTTTTTTTGTGGATTACCTACAAACATGCAAACATCAATGCGGCATAGTGCGATTCGGGCTATGAATGATGACGGCCCCGAAAAGACTATCCTCCTTTGGGTGTGCTCCCTTTTTTCTTCGTATACAATTTGTTCGAAAATTGATTGCCAAGAACATGAAGTATGTATGTATGTTGGGAGAAGTGGTGTCAGAAGCTGCGCAGCTGTTTGAATTTTCTAGGAAAAAGCTTGCTGACCTGTATACGCCAACCGCTTGGCGCTTAAAACTGTGCCAGTGTGGCAGGCAATCAGATAGGACTGAGGAGAGAGTGAGGATTGCATAGATTTGGTACGATCTGCTGCTGTTACCGAAACAAATGCTGATGCCGATGCTGACACTGACGCTTGCTGCATGTGTGTCCTCAGGCGAAGTTCTACATTTTCAAGATTTTCTCACGACAAATTGAATTTTTATTAGCCAAAAGGTTTTCAATTTTTTTGTTTGATTTTGATTTTATGCTTTTTAAATTCTCTTTATACACCAATTTTTTTTTATGCCTTATGTGGGTGATTTATTGACCGCGGCTTGTGAGAGTTTACAAAGCATACATTATTTTTTAACGGTTTCTAAGAATATTCGAGTTTATTGTTTTTGGTGCATTCTTATTGTCTGCTGTGCGAAATGCTAATATGTGCGGCAAACGATCGAGGTCAATTGCAATTAGTTAGCAACACTTTGAGTACCGTTTTATTTGGCTTGGTACTCGCAAAAGTCGCCTCCACTTAATCTCCACTATTTGTCAACACAAATGTGTCTATTGGCTTCCGCAACATTGTCAGCAAATGCAAATAACAATTGGCAACTTGTTGTCAACACTTTAAAATTCAAGTGACAACTGTGTTCATAGGTAGACATTTGTATGTATGTATGTACGAGTATGCACTTGCGGCTGTAACAAGCGTTGCACAGTAAGGCTTATTGTAGTCGTAACGGCAAGAAATATGACACAAATGCGCTGTTGACAAATGGTTTGGATAGTGGGACTATTGAATCATTAATGGATGCCGACAGCTTAGGAAAATATTTTAACAGTTTTCTTAAAGAAACAAGCCTGGGATAGTTTACTTTGTAGAGCGTTTTCGTGGGAAAAAATGTAAATAACAGCCTAAAGCATCCCAGCGTATATAGTTGAATAGTCTTTGTAAAAACACTATTCAATATCGAGAGCTTTTAGCCCAGGAAGTTGTGCTATTACTGTAACATACAAATTTCCTAAAATAGTATTTGTGGAATGCTGTTGAATTGACAATTATTTGGCAATGTGGGAGCGCTTCAAGGGCCTATGGGTATAGAATAAACTTGTCACAGATAGCCAATTGACTGAAATACGGCCTTATTCGAGGAAAGCTAACCAAGTTCGTCTGTACCACATTCTTTCTTGAAAGCTTACTCTAACTCTACTGCAATATATACAATAGGGTAATTCTGGCAACCGCCTTTCAACTCACCGCAGTCTTTCGTAAGATAAAAGTTTTTCGTAAGACAATTGGCAATTCTGGCAACTATCTTGAAAGCTTTTTTCTGTCTTTTGAAAGACTAATTATAAGATCTGTAAATGAGGAGGTCTTTTGCGTTATTCTGTTAGTCTTTTAGCAATATGCTTCCTAAAAATAAAATCAAAAAAAAAAAATAAAAGAAAAAATAAAAGATAAATAAAAAATAAAATAAAATAAAATAAAATAAAATAAAATAAAATAAAATAAAATAAAATAAAATAAAATAAAATAAAATAAAACTTATCTTTGCTTTTCTTTCAAGATAAATAACAACTAAAAATTAGAATAGTAATAGGGCCATTCCATTGTGACTAGTGGGACATTTTAGTCCAGAATGTGATCAATTATGAATTTTAACTATGTCGTCGGAACTTATACAACAGCGAAAGATATTCTTTAATATAGAACGTTAGCTAATGTATAAAATTGCTATAACAAAAATACCAAACGATTTCTTAGTTTTATGTAACTATCACTTGATTGAATGTGACTGGTGGGACACTGAAAAGAACTCTATTTTACCCTTGCGCACTCAAAGATGAAAAACTTAATTTTCACGAGCGATGTATTTGTCGCAGTCTTCGCTTGATTTCAATTAGAAACACTGTAACAATTGAACGTATATGTTTATGTAGATATGTATGTATGAATGTGCCACAAAATTCGTGATATATAACCGGGTGCTTCTGGAAGCTTAGAGCAAATAGACGCCTGACAGAAAGAAGGTAGGTACAAGTCGCAACCAATGGTGATAGCAAACGCCGAACTAACGACAACACCACCGCCCACTAGCATGCTACATACTTACATACTTATGCATACAAACAAGTGTGTTTTCAAGTAAGTATGCACACAAAAAAAAAGATAAGTAACCTAATGAAATTCGCATTTGCACATCGCATGTGCATCAATATTTAAACAGCCGCCTTGTACTTGCATAGCGGTGCGTTGCCAAAGCGTGTGACCATCAGCAGCGCGTCATAGCAATCGTCGTGCGATGTTGTGCTGACAAAGAAAAATGCAGTCATAAAATTAACTTTGCCACACACATAAAATAAACAGTACGCAGACCCTTAATTCCTCGCCTCGTACAACAACCAAACAAACAAAGCAATTCAAATTGGAAAATATTGCACGGTATTGTAAATTTTGCTGCAGCACTAAATACACAGACGTGAGTGTGAAATTACAAACAGTCAAAGGCGCGCAAAAATGCAAACGATCGAATTGTCGAATAAGCGCTGGGCCAACTAGATGACTGAGCGAGCGGCTGAGCGAAATTGCAAAATTGCGAAAATGCGACCGGCAACGCGAATACGATTGCGATGCGGTACTACTGATAAGCGGAAAGAAAGCTATGCCACATCAAACTATGCCACATTGCAATTGCGCAGCGCATTGTAAGTGCAATGCGCAATGCGCTACTTTGTGGCATTAATGCACAGGCGAACTTTGTGGCAACAGCGTGCGCAATGTGGCGTGCGTATCCAATCAGCGATCTGCGCTTGAACGCGTGTTGATTTCATTTGATTTGAATTTTTTTTCCCAAAGGCGCACAAATTCGCACAACAAGCGTACATTTGAGCGGTGCTGCGCCAACACACTTACATACATACATACTCGTACAGAGGCAGCGGCTCTAGCATTGGCATGCAACATTGATTTTTAGTTAGTTAAATGCGTTCGCTTGACTTGACTTCCTTGTCGCGCATTTCGTCGAAATCGTAATTGCTAACTGCAGTGCGGTAGCAAATAATTTTGCTCTTTATGTAGTGCTAAGCGTTTGTTTTCCTCAAATTGCTGCTTTAACTTAGCTGTGTTTATGAATTTGTTTGTTTTATTTTTAGTTTTTTTTTTTTCTTTGAACCGACAATCTACAAAATTATTGGCGCCACACTGCTGTGAACATAAATTTTGCGTGCGCCTGCGCAGTTTTTGGCAGTCAGCTAACACATCACTTCACTTCACTTCATCAACAGCAACTTGCATTGTTACACCTTTTCACACAAGTTTTTTTTTTGGAAATTTTTTGCAATTACCTTTTTTTTTTTGATTCGTTGCATATTGATATGCTTGCGGAATTGCAATAAAATTTACGAGTACTTCCCATTTAATGGGAATTTTATTTCAAGTTAATTGCAATCGATTTTTGTGACATAAATTTTTGTGCAACTCGAGGAGTTTGACATTTTTTGCACCTCAACAATTTTGTTCAAGTATTTATTTAGTTAATAGCAAGCATTTATTTTGACACTTTGTTGCGCAAATTGTGGGTGTGGGTTATATGTGTAGGTATGTATGTACATTAGGGTGGTAAAAAAAAAAAAAAAATTAAAATAATAAAATTAAGTCGGAATTTTAGCGCTCTCACCCCCTAGCATTGTTTTGTATCGAAAAAATATACCCTTAGTTTTAATTTTGAAATAAAAAAGCATTGTGAGGTCGCGCAAAGCGCTTAAAGTTTTCCATGTATTTTATATGAGAAAAAAACCCCTTTACGTAGAAATGGTATAGAATTATTGAAAATCGATATTTTTCGTCTGGTTCTTGTCAGGAGATTTCCAAATCGAATGTTGATTTAGCCATTTTTTAATATCTTTTGATTTCAAAGTAAAGAATAGCGGTACTTTTTCGCTATAGAAATATCCTAGGGGGTGAGAGCATAAAAATTCCGACTTAGCTTTTTCCCCCACCTGCATTTTTGGACCACCTTAATGTACATACACAAATATGCATGTGTCTATACAATACTTTGTACTCACCTCTCAGGTATCGTGCTGTAGTAGAGCAGCACCGTTGCAATTTCGTAACAATTCAGACCGGCTGCAAGTACACATTCCGCATCGACAGTTACAATCGGATGGCCTTTTAGATCACTGGTACCTGGAAACAAAAAAAAAAAACAAATATCAGATATAATTACTTGCCGCTCTATGTGTTAAATATTTACTAAAGTTATACATTATTATTTGAGAGAAAATAAAAAAATTGTGCTGATCTTTTTTGGAGTACTATGGTGTATAGTCGTTGTGCTGGGTATGCAGTTACAGTTGCACGACTATACTCTGGGCAACGTGAGCAACCCATGTGCGAGATGCGGTAACCAATCCGAATGCATCCTTGGGTCAAGGCAGAAAAAGAGGCAGCTTCGGTGAGGCGACTCCAACTTATTCGGTTTAAGGGCTTACTGCCCTTACGTCTGCAGCGTCTGTTCACCAGTAGGTGCGGCTGTAAGCGGGCGTCTGTCTTGGAGCAAGCGGCTGGTTAATAAAAGTGTATTATGTTGCGAAACCACTTCCATCCCAGCAATGGGTAGTGCGCTGGATTTGGGGCCCGGCACGAAAAGACCCCTTACAGTGAAGAAGCGAGGCAAAGCCTGGGATGAGACCCCCCTTTATGGTGACGACCACGGCAAACGTTTAGAGGACTATGATTTGAGGGCATTCATCTGGAATGCCCGGGCCCTTAATGAGAAAGGTGCCTCTGACCGGTGGTTGATGTCGTCGTAAGGATAAAAGCTGACATCCCCGCCATCCAAGAAATATGTTGGACGGCACAAGGCAAGAAAAGCTAGGGGCCTTGCGACGTCTACTATAGCTACCATCTAAAGGAGCGCAAATTCGGTGTTGGATTTGTGGTGGGAGAGAGACTCCGTCACTGAGTACTGTCGTTCCCCCCGGTGGACGAGCGTCTAGCCACAATCCGCATCAATTCCAAAGTGGGAAAGGAAGATATACTTGGAACCACCGTCGGAAAATTCAGCCTCCACGGCGGAACGTCTGACAACGTACTGAGGCTTACCGACTTAGCCGGAGCCCGAAACATGGGAGTATACAGTACCATGAAGTTACACGGCTATTGCGGTAGATGGAAGGCACGTTTAAAGTGTTTTGGACGTACTTATACTTCGGGGCCCAAACATCGACTCGGACCATTGTCTTGTTGCAGCCAAGATACGCACCCGCCTCTGTGTAGCAAAAAAATTTGCAGCCAAAAATGCAAGGAAAGCTTTACGTCGAAAAGCTGCAGTCACAACAGACGGGCAATGCATTCGCTACTCGCCTCTCATACCTGCTCTCAGAGAGTACTCTTCAACAAACTGATATACGCGAGCAGTGGAACCACATTTACCGATCATTAAGTACCGCCGCCTAGTAAATAAGAAGCAATAAGAAGAGATAGGCCGAAATACGCCGAAATGCTGGCCGACAGGAAAAACGCCCGAAAATTTTACCAGAGAGTTAGGCGATTTACGGAGGGTTACAAGAGCGGGGCGAAATCCCTTTAAAAGCAACTATGGTGATCTAGTGACGGCACTGAAAGTAGTAGAGACGACGAATCCGAATCCCCAGTCGATGACGATGGAGTCGATGATAAGGTACGAATAACGATCGTGCGGCTAAAAAAAAAAACGAAGCTGCTGGAGCTGACGTTCTGCCAACCGAGCTATTCAAGTGTGGTGACGAGGAGCTGACAAGGTGCATGCATCAACTCTTATGCAGAATTGCCGAATGGTGTCAGATCAACGCAAGCCCGATGACTGGAATTTAAATGTGCTCTGCCCAATCAACAAAAAAGGCGACAGCACTAAAAGGAGTTGCCTATAAGCCACGTTGTTTTAATTTGGTATCCTTGCGTCGAGCAATACCACCGTCAGAATTAGAAAGGACCTTTCCGCGCTGTTTAATACCAGATGAGGTTTCCGACAAGGTGACCCTATTTCATGTGAATTCTTTAATCTGAGATTGGAAAAGAAAAAAAGAGCCTCAGAGCTAAACCGCTTAGGAAAAATATACTACAAGTGCGTGCATGGAATTTGGTGCAAGCTCTATTTTTGCATAGAAACCTAGAAATATAAAAAAAACTGTGTGGATTGGCGACCACGCCTCTCCTCCCTCACACTAGTGGAGAATTCAGTGAAATTCGGTTTGTAACTTGGACTAACCTAGGAAGATCTAAATAGGAAAGATCGGTTAACCGCCACGCCCGCCGGCCATTCCAATGTCGTATTCTAATGTGGCAAGGTCGCATCGGATCATTGTTGCAGCTTATACAATAACGGTTAGTTATCTTAAAAAGATGCTCATAAATTTTCAAGTGATTTCGACTATTTATTTAGAAATTATGAGCAATGTCCCCGCCTAGATTGGCTGTTTTTACCACTGCGCGTCGGGCCGTTTGGGGTAAAAGTACCTAAATTGCAAGTTCAGATTCCTCCAACCCCAAAAACCCCAGAAACGGATTTTGCATTTGAAACAAAACGTTTTAATTCGATAAGCTGGGAAAAGTACTTCCCTATATACAATCCAAACTTTCAGAAAAACTTGATTTCATCCATTCCCCGCAGGCTGACGTACAGTGTTATGAAAACATTTTTATAATTCTTACGAAAATTTTGATGAACTTTTTAAAGTTCCACCTTGAAATTATTATTGTTTTGGGCCTCTGATTTTAACAGTTTAGTGCTTGGAAAATGGTCTCGAACCGCATTTGAATGCCTCTTACGTTTTCTCAGTTTTCTTATGAGCCCAGTAATGGTACTTTGGAGACAGTCCCACTTCCCAGCAACAACCTAGTAGCATCGATCTTGCCACCTCAGCCATTCTCCTGCCCATGGGCGTAGGCAGGTAGGGGCAGGGGGGTGCTCGAGCCCCCCCTAACTTTCAAATTTTCCTTATATATGTATAAAATAGTACCCTGAAATGCCAGCTTAATAGGGTCGAGGCCCCCCTCTAAATTTCATTCTGGCTACGCCGATGCTCCTGCCTTCATTGAATTTAAATTCGTGACACATTTTGTTAACGCTCGCAAAATTTGACCCAAAGACCCGCTTTTGTAAGTATCTAACAGCAATATTACATATTCATAGCGCTTTCAATCTGTCACTTTTCATTAAGCGTGAGCATATTTTATTAAAAGTGAAAAGCTTTAAACAAACTGGTACATGATTAAATTTCTGTAACAGCGAAAAAAACGGCATCGACGAACCAATTTGCATGTCAATTAAATTTATGTCATTTACGCTACAAATGAACTTGACACAATTACTACGGCCAGACAGCGTGATACCACAGCAAACTCCCAAGCAACCCAAACACCCAATCGCCTAACCGCTTAACCACCAAGCCATAGCCAATCGCATAGAGCGCATGCCACATGCCACCACCACATAGGAGGCGTACCTGTGTGCAACATTCACTTTACACCCCAGCCAATTTCGTACACTTTGGGTGGTCAATTGAATGTTAATGTGTTAAAATGTAGATGAAACAACAACAACAATAACTTTGTGCGAACAACGAATGCAGCGAGCGGCAGTTGCAACGTTTACGAGTTCACACAAGCGCATGCCTCCATTCATACGTAGAAGCGCTTCTTTAGAAAAATTGAATAAAGCGCGCAGTCTAGTCTGGAAGAGTCTTCAGCAGCATGCGTGATGGCGCTGATGATGGCAGTGGTGGCATTGAAACTGATTTTGCCAAGTGTTGCACGTAAAATTGAATGACACTAATGAAAATGAAAAGCCAGTTAGTTAGTTAGGCAGATAAGCTGAAGCGCGCTCCGATGCTATTTAATGTTGGCGTGTAAGAATTTCACTTCCACCTCACACAAATCATCGAATTTATGACATGGTCGCTTGGCTAGTCTTAGCTGGGGCCATGTGTGATGAGCGCACGGAAATTTGATGCGTTGTGGCATTGGCATGGCGTGCGTGAGATCGTTATCAATAGCGCGATCAACCTACTCAAGTGTTGTGGCAATTAATACAGGCACATACTTATGTATGTATGTACGTATGTAGGAACGTGGGCTTGGCAGGAAAGCAATTGAAATGCAAATCGATTTGGCGATAACGTCGGAAGCTTGTGAGCGCATGAATCAAAAAACAAATTTCTAACAAATTGAGTTTATTGGCTTAGTGGAACAATTTAGATGCAAAATTTTGTAGCGAAAGTTCGATCAAGAATATTTAAATCGCCATAAATAAAAGCGTGGTGTTAATGAGAAATATGCAAAAACGATTAAGTCGCGCCAATGGTGGGCAATCAAAGCGGGCGATGGAAATGCATACATACACACAGTGCCGGATTAAAGCAGAGGCCGACGGGGGCGGCGATCACAATAAAATTAGTTATTAGAAAATTTTTGTATGGCAAAAAAAATTTTGTCACCAAAATTTTTGGTAAAATATTAAAGAATATTTTGTGCATGCTCACATTCTTAAGTTTTTCTGGCGTTACAAAAAGTCAAGAAAAACTTTACAAAAAGCAGCTCATCTATAGTTTTACATATTTTGGTTATTGCTTTTCATAAGCTTTTATTTAACTTGCTCATCGCACAGAAATTTCCAATCGATGTTAAACTAGTTCCCCGACAAGTCAAAGAATGGCACCGATTCAATTCTAGTGCAATGTGCAACTCGGAGGTTCAGAACTTAGCTTATGTAGACCAAGCAATGCATTAACTTGCGATGCGGCGTGCGGTGTTAAAGAGAGTTGTCAACACCGGAAAATTTCTAGCGGAACATGGCGTGGCTTCCCGAGATTCCGATGCAATTTTTGGATCAGCGAGTGATGGAAATTTATTTCGAAAACTTGAACTAAGAGTAACTACTAGCTCATTGTCATCCATTTTTAGCTGGACACTTCATGGAACACGGAAACATGCGATCAGTGTGACCAGGTTCGGAATTTTTGAGGCTCGATTCAAGCAATTATATTTTTGTTCCAGCCTCGGAATTTTAGGTATGCCACCAAAAAGGTATGAAATCTAAAAATTAAAAAAAATGTCATCGTTTTCTACGAAAAATGTTGCCTCAAAAGTGTATTAAGTGAATTTTCGATTGGACGCATAGTTGCTCTTACAAAATAATTCGTAAATTAACAGTTGGGTATTGTTATTGGAAGTCTCCTGAAGAGAACCAACCAGAGTTTTCCGATCGAAAAATATTTATTTTCAAGAATTCTATACCATTTGCACGAAAAGTTGTTTTTTTCCGCATATGAACTACATGGAAAACTTTGAGCGCTTTGAACCATCTCTAAATATTTTTTGACTCCAAAATAAAAAATAGGGGTATTTTTTTCCGACTTTACTTCTTTTGGACCACCCTAGTGTACATATATCGAATTTGATCGGAAAGCAGCGGCGATCGATTTCTTCGATTTTTTTAGAGGAGCTTTTTATTTTTCACGTTTTCGGGAATACAATATGACATTTTGAGCACTAAATTGTCAGCTTTGGAAACAGCTACAGCCTCAAAAATGTATATGTTACCCGCTGGTCACGTCGCGACACGATGCGTTGATGCTATAAAAGGGTTGAGAGTTGGATTTCTCCTCGATACAGAAGCGTTGATAGCAATGCGAAATGGCGATGAATAGTTTAATATTGTAAAGAAAATGAGGCCGCTCGAAACAGCATGGTGCATTGTCTTCTGGCTTTAATTCGAGTAGAAAATCTCTAGCCTTCGAGATATACAGAGAAACAGCTAAAACATTTGAATCTTTTCGAGTCAGAGCAAGCTACCTATCGGCTCAAAAATAAAGACGAAACAACGTTCCGCTAGGGACGAATTTTCGTACGTGGTGACTTATTCCACGCTAAATTCAATCTGTAGGTAATCGTTATAGAGCCCCACCCGCACATTTCCTCCGGCCCATGCGGCCCCACCAATGTTAATCCGGCCCTGCATGTACACATAACTAAATATCTTAATTTATTAGAGCGGATGTTGTGTTTTTTTCGTTTTTTTTTTTTTTTGGCAATCAAACTTACCTGGCAGATAAATACCCGATGTGGTTAAGAGCTTCTCAGGGATTTCGCCGATCGAAGCAGGCGGCACAATTTCGCATTCGAATTGATCTGTAATAAAGATAAGAAAATTTGATTGGTCGTTATTGCTTTCTGCTATAGATACATACTTATACATTATTAGAGTTCGTAATTGCATTGCTGGTGCTATTAATATGTTTTTTTTTTGGTATTCGCTTGGATTTGAAAAAATTTTTGACTGCTTGTAGTGAGTGGCAAATTGAAAGGTATGCATAAATCGGTCGGTGGTCAGTGGTTGGCGTTTCAAAGTTAAGTACATACAACTATGGTTTTTTAAATTGCTGGTTTCCGAATATATTTTCATACATACTATGCTAAAATACTATGTAGTAAGTTTGCATTAGGAATGCTGTATGTATGTATGCACGTATTTATTCTCTTGTTTGCCGTGTTCTATTTAATTGCTGTTACTCAGCCCACACACGCGTTGTTTTTAATTGCATACCACTTACTTATACATATTGCTATTGATATGGCCAAATATTTAATGCACAAAGTGTGTTAGCTCATAGTTTGCTAATATTTTTGGAAAATAGTTAGGTACCTACATACATACATGCCTTGCAGGAAAATAAGAAAATTTTTGGTAGTGATACTAACGAAAAGTTGTAGAACCGTTCTGAATTTTTTTGACGGTTGTTAGAAAATTTTAGGATTTTTCTCGGGCTCTTTTTAAACTTTTATGAGTCAAGATTTTTTTTTGCATTATTGAGCCTATTCGGAAATTTTTGGTCGGTTTTTCTGCTCAAAATAATACAAATCAAACACGAGCTCATATTATTGTTTTCTGTTGTAAAATGGACACACCGTGTCTCAGAGTTTTTAACTTTTTTTTATTAATTTTTGTACAAAGCCAACCGCCTTTAAAGAGTTTTTCGAAGTGAAGCTTTTTTAAACTTCTTTCATCTGACATCCATATTGTTATATTTAATTTGATTTATTGATTACATCAAAATTGTTTTTTAAATGGCTGGCAACCCCTTTAAAACTATTTGCGAAATAAATCTTTCTTATATAGTATGACTCTTTCGATTCACATCTGCAACTTTTAACGAAATTTAATTTAATTTTTGAAAAGTTCGCAATCCTTTTCAATAATAGTTCCTCATTATATTACAATACTTTATTTAACTCGTTAAAAGGTGAATTTGACTATTAAACAGGTTGAACCCTCTTTGAAATATTTCTAAAACAATGAAATCAAAAGTGAACTAGAATTTTTGCATTTTATTATAAAATGTCTCAAATTTTTTATTTTATTTTATAAAGTAAGGCTTTCTTAAATTTCTTTTTATTTGACATACACATTGTTTTATATATGTATCGTTTAACCTATTGATTAAATTAAAATTGTCTTTTAAAGGGATGGCCACTCCCTTTAATATATATTCGAAATATATCTTTATTTTACTTTACTTCTTTCGATTGACATGCATATTGAAGTATTTTATTCAACTTAATGACCAAATTAAATTTATATGTATTTTAAAAAGGTGGCATTCCTCTACAAAAAATAACTAATTTTAAATCCACCTATGTCTTTTGACATCCATATTGTATTTAGTAGTTTAGTTAACTTATTAAGAAATTTAATTTGACTTTTGGGGGTTGCCACCTATCCTCTTTAAAATATTTTTCAAATAATTTATACTTAACCTCTGTTGTTTGGTACCCATATTTTAATTATTTATTTAATTTTTTATAAAATTGATTTTGTCTATTCAAACAGGTGACAAATAAAAATATTTTCGAAATAAAATTTTTTTAAATTACTTTCGTTTGGCAACCATATAGTAAAAATTTGGTTGAACTTTTAATCTAAAATGCACTTTACTTTTTACAGCAGGTGGCAACGCTCTTTAAAAATTTTAAAAATCATCCTATAAATTAAATCCAAATCATCGGCTCTCTGTGCGCCACTTTTCAGCAAAATCCATTAAGTCGCGTTAGCGTGAAATCACCCACTTACAAAACTTCACATTTATTTTAGTAGGTTTTTATCTTATTTTATAATTTTTTTCCCCTGCATTAAATGCTTTTAAAATAACTAAATTCTTAACAAAATTTCGTAATAAAAAATTCACAAAAATTTTACATAATTTTTATTTTTCTACATTTATTTATACAAAAACTTTCTTCAATTAGTCAAGTCTTAACGCTTCCATTATTTAATCGATTCAAGTGCAATTTCTCTTATCGGCATATATCAAGTGACTATTTATTTGCTGGCCAAATACTTTTACTCTTTTCTGTTTAGATACATATCTACATATATGTATATACGATTCCAGCTCACATGTGAATGGACATTTGGCAAATAGCGTTTCGCGCCTGCACTGAAAATCATTTGGCATTGATGGGGAAGTGTGTCGAGTGACCCGCATATGGCGGTGCAGCAATCAATGCAACAAAAACAATGCGTACTAAAAACTCAAATGAATTGCTTACGCGCTCACAATCGCATTCAATTGTGGGAGCTTGCAATTGCTGCCAGCTCTTGGACGGCCGACGACTTACCACCGCACGGCGGCGGCTATTTACTCAACGGGGGATTAAATTGCAAATCAACAGCACTGCCAAAAAAAAACAAAAACAAAAACAAGAACACTTAGTGGCATACATACATATAAAAACACTAAAAAAAAAACTTAAAAAAATAAAAAGGATTTTGCCCAACCAGAGCATTGTTGCAGGTGCGCGCACCGCAAAATTGCGTGGGCTACACGCTCACATTTTTTTAATTACTACAGCTTGTTTAGCGGCAGCTATCGGAAACGATCGATTGCTGTGCCACGATGAATGAAAAGCGTGCAGTTTAATATGATCGTAATTGTGTGTGTGTATGTATGCATATTTGCATGCATGTATGTATGTATGTACGTATGTACATATGTATGTTCCTCCATCTGCAGCCAAACACTTTTATTACTTTTATATGCAGAGGTACATAAATATTTGCTCTAAATACCACAGAAGCAAACATATGCACACAAATCCATATGCTTTGCAACTCCCGCAACACTCGAACAAATACACGTATGTACACGTTCATGCATGCGTTTATGTAGCTATCGTTGTGCCTTTGAAAAATGCAAGTATTTATTTTTTTTTTTTGTTAAATAAGTTCAACCAGTTTGACATTTTTTAGTCTGCCCACTGAAATTAACTTTGAAAATTCACACATGCCACACCGCGGCATGCAACACTCAACATCAACTAACTGTCTTGCCTTGTGGCAGCGCACATTTGTTGCATGTCGCCGTGTCGCCACATTGTCGTTGCAGGTGGTGCTGCTGTGGCGATTTTCCACAGACAAAGTAATGCAGTTAGCAACAATTGTGTATATGTATATACAGTGGCGGATTTGTCGTACAGGCAACATAGGCTGAAGCCTAGGGCGGCAGAATTAAGGGGCGGCAAAATTTAAGACAGCTAAATTAAAAGAAAAAAATTTATTTGGATTCAGCTGCACTTGAAACTGTGTTTGTGTCTGTAAAATATTATTTATGATTCATCTCATTCAATACAATTCAAAATTAGAATTACGCTGCGAATTTTTCCTTAGTATAGCAGTCGTTGAAATTTCCATTTAACTTTCATTCACGCGGCTGCGCGTGACGCAAAGAAACAGCCGACACGCTGCCCCGAGAACGAGAATCATCTAAAAGGTTACCACACTTGACAACACTGCCGAAAAACGAGCGTGCATTTTCGAGAAAATTCTTGATTCCAAGCCCACCAGTTTTTCATAAGTGTATCATAACGTGAATAATCTGAAGGTCAGCTTCCGTCGTATGTCAAATTAGGCAGTGTATCTGTGTATGGTCTTCTGTTTGTCTGGCGCGAGGTCAAAAAATCTTCCGGATGAGCGATTTTATTTTGTATACTCGCATAGCGCTACTTCAATGTCCTGATAATTGGATTCTACTTGTCCAAACCTCTAAAGCATTTCAGTGCAGAATACATCGTGTTTTACAGATGCATGTACCCGTTACTTTACACAGAGACTATTGCAGCATTAGTAGCAATTGAAGAAGACCCACATGAAAAAGCAATTAGAACTAGAACTTTTGGAGACTGCATTTATGCAAGGTTTATGGAGCTTCTTATTGACATCATTCAATGCAGTCAGCAAGAAATTGCAAAATGTGAATACGACTATTTCTGAAGTGATCTCTTTGTTCAACGGACTCATTAAAGTTGTGACTGACACTCGCGAAGAATTCGATCAATATGAAGAGAAAGCTCTCTCTATTTCTACAATTCAGGAATACAAAACACTCAGGCAGCGTCGAAGGAATCAGAATCTACAACCTGGTGAAAATAGGGACAATAGTATCCAATTGAGTGGCCGAGACAACTTTCGTGTCAACACATTCAACGTTATCTTGGACCGTACTTTGACAGAATTGACACGGAGACGTGAGGCGTATCAAAAAATCTATTCGAAATTTTCTCTCATCACTGATATGAAACATCTGAGCAACGAAGAATTACGTGAAAAATCCATCATATTGAGCCAATACTACACCCAAGATCTTGAGGAAAATTTGGGAAATGAAATGGTCTTTTTCAAGGCATACTGCACCGAAAAGAAGATTTTAAATTATTCTCCTCTGGAACTGTTGAAAATGCTGAGACAGGATAATCTGCAGATCTCTTACCCTAATGTTGAAATTGCGTTGCGGATGTTTGTTTCAATTCCTATTTCCAATTGTAGCGCAGGAAGATCGTTTTCTGTTTTAAAACGCGTGAAAAACTATCTCAGATCTTCATTGAGCGAAAACAAACTGAATGCTCTTTCGTTGCTGACTATAGAGTCAGATTTGTTTCTATCTATCGATTGTGAAGATATTATCCGCGAATTCGCAGCTGAAAAATCAAGACGTAAAGAACTGTGAAAAAGAAGTGTTTGAAAGAGGGTTTTTGTTGAATACCTTATCCATGCTGATGTCGAATTTGTTAATGCCGTTATATATTTCATTATTAACGAACTATATTGTAATAAAGCACTGACAATAACAATCATA